ATTATTATTATTATTGTTATTGTGTGTTATTTTTTACATTGTTTGTTAATGATAGTTTGATTATTCGAATTTTTAACTTTGTTTCTTCATCAGTTGGTCATCTGAGATCTTTTTTAACATTAACCTTAATCTACAAATATCGGAATTGTTTGGAGAGGAAGTCACACTATTATATTCTGTACTATATAAATGATCATTATTTATACTACAATTACTATTGATGAGGTTATCTTTACTATTGTGTATTATTATTATTATTATTTACGTATTACGTGTATTATTGAGGGGTGTTTCATAAGGATTGCTATTGTAAAAATTACCAATATTTAAATAGTCATTACTATTATAAGATCAAGACATTGAGTTGTATTATCTTTTCGATAAAAGTAACAAATTATTAAATTATTAATTAATTGTGTATTTGCTTTTGAAAAAAATAAAAAAATAAAAAAAAAATAAAAATAAAAAAAAAACCACTTGCACAATTTTTTTTTTAAAATTTTTTTTTTATTTAAATTTTTTGAAAAAAGTATAAAAATAAAATAACACCAGATATAATAAATTAATCTTAAAAGGTATTATTTGATATAATTAATAAATTTATTTATTTTTAATTTTAAACTATTTTTTTAAAACAATAAAAACAAAATGGTAATGCAGTAACTATTTATAATTTTAAATAATTATTATAAAAATTAAATTTTAGCACAGTTGTTAATAATACGTGTTATTTCTGAAAATTCAAAAAAAAAAAAAAAAAAAAAAAAAAAAAAATGGGGAGGGTCAAAAATTCCGAATGATTGAAGGTAGTGCACAAAAAAAATAGGAAAAAAAAAATAGAAAAAAAATTATTTTTTATTTTTTTCGATTTTTTTTTTTTCATCATTCAATAAATAGTGAAGATGAAGATTTTATTATTATTAATAATCTTCAATTTATTTAATTTTGATATAGCAAAATCTTCATCGGAATATACAGCGCCAAGAAATTGTAGTTATAATGGTATAGATTATTCAAATCTTTTCGCAGAAAATGGTTATAGTAGTAAAGGTGTAAAGATTGGAAATGGTGAGCAATATTTATTTGAATGGAATATTTGTGGTCCATCACCAAATTGTAGAGCTCGGGATGTTTCAGCATGTCAAACCGATAGCATTAAATCAAACTTTCAAGTAGCAGGTCAACTATCAAGAATGCAATGGTCTACTGATTCTTTTAATAATACAATCATTACTTACAATTCATACAATTCATACCATTGTACAGGAAATGTAGAAAGAAAGTTTCAAATTCAATTGCTTTGCGATGGTGAGTATTTAACATCAGAGGATGTATATGAAAGCGAAGAATGTTCTTATTTTGTTAAACTCCATGGTGCATGTGGTGTTGGTCAACAACCACCCAATTCAATCAAGTATCCAACAAAAATGCTATCTAATAAAGCAAACAATTGTAGTTATAATGGTATTGATTATTCAAATCTTTTCAATGCAGAAAATGGTTATATCAGTAAAGGTGTAAAGATTGGAAGTGGTGAGCAATTTTTGTATAATTGGAATATTTGTGGTCCATCCCCCAAATGCACAGGTGTCGATATTTCAGCATGTCAAACCAATACTTATGGATTTAATAATCAAGAAGTTGGCCAACTATCAAGAATGGAGTGGTCTAAAGATTCTTTTAATAATACAATCATTACCTACAATTCAAACAATTCACACCATTGTTATGGAAATGTAGAAAGAAAGTTCCAAATTCAATTACTTTGTGATGGTGAATATTTAACATCAGGGGATGTATATGAAAGCGATGAATGTTCTTATTTTGTTAAACTCCATGGTGCATGTGGTGTCTACCAACAACAAACCAACTATATAGCATCTTCATCCTCAAACACATATCCAACTGAAAAATCAACACTAACAGCAACATCAACTCCATATTACAAACCAATTAATTGTAGCTATAATGGTATTGACTACTCAAATCTTTTTAATGAAAATGGTTATAGCAAAGAAGGTATTAAATCTTCAAGTGGTGAAAAATATTTATATTATTGGAATATTTGCGGTCTCTCACCAATGTGTAATGGTAATGATATCTCTGCATGTCAAACTAATCAATTTGGGTATGGTTACCAAATAACAGGTCGACAATCTGAAACAGAATGGTCCACAAACATTTGGGGTAACCCAATAATTACTTATAGCTCTGACAATTCATACAACTGTCCAAATGATAGTAAAAGAAAGTTCCAAATTCAATTATTGTGTGATGGTAAAGAGTTTGAAATAGAGAATGTAGCCGAAAACAACGAATGCTCCTATCTTGTCAGAATTCATGGTGCATGTGGAATTGATCAAGAACCATCAAGTTTTGCCAAAAGGTTTATAGTTTATCATCAAAATATCATCAAAAATCCAACTAAAATAATTGTTCCAATTGGTTTATTTATATTAATATTAGTATTATTAATTGTAGTTTTAATTTAAATATAAAAAATAAATAATTTTTCTATTTTATTGTATTTTTTTTAGTTTATCTTATTATTTATTTTCTTTAACAAGAGTTGCAATTTAAACATTTTGAAGCAGTAGCATGAGTAATTAAACCAGTGCATGGATCGCAATAATCATCAGTGCATATATTACCATCATCAATTTCCTCTCTAAATACAGGTGAGCACTTACCCTCTCTAGTGCAATGGGATCTCATACATTTGTTTTTAATTTCACAGCCACAATCACATTGGTCACCTGGAATTTCGATTTCAAAACATTCGCCAGTAGATGCTTTACAAGATGTTTCGATACATGGATTTGTAGAATTTCTTTTACATTTCTCTCCTTTTATACAGCCACAGCCATTTAAGTCACATGAATATACTGCACATAAATCTACATTGACACCATCCAATTCATTTGCACAATACTCTGGGGTTTTGGCTACACATGTTCCATTAATACATTGATCTTTGGCATCACAAACTCCTTTACAGAATGTTTCGTATTCGCAACCTGCAGTTGGGTTGCAACCTACCAAAGTTAAACATTCATCGGATCTATCTGGGCATTGAAGTGGTGATGATGAATATAAACCAGTGACTGGGTCGCATATTGAAATAATGCATGAATCGTTTGCATTTGGGTTTGGAACATTTTCAACTAAGCAATTTCCATTTGAAGAATCACATGATGTAACTAAACATTTATTGGAACTTTGTTGACATTTCTCTTGTTTAATACAACCTTGATTTGGATCGCATGAGTATACTGAGCAAATATCAGCATTATCGCTATCTAATTCATTAGCACAATAGTCCGATGTTTTAACTACACATGTACCATTGTTACATTGACCTACATCACAAACATTATTACATAAAGTTTGGTATTCACAACCTGCACTTTGATTGCAGCCAGTATTTGATAAGCATTCATTGGATCTATCACCACAGTTTTTTTCAGATGGTGTATATAAACCTGTATCTGGATCACATGTAGCTTCTATACAGGAATTATTAGCATATGGATTTGGAACTTCTCTTACAATACATTCACCATTTGAAGGATCGCACAATGAAACGAGACATTTATTTGAACCCTGTTGACATTTCTCTTGTTTAATACAACCACCTTGACTTGAATCGCATGAGTATACAGAACAAATATCAGCACTATCATCATCTAATTCTTTAGCACAATAATCTGATGATTTAACTACACATGTTCCATTGTTACATTGATTCTTAACTTGACAAGCGTCAGTACATGATGACTCGTATTGGCAACCATTGGTCCAGTTACAACCTATACTCTTTAAACAGTCATTTGATAAGTCTAAACAAGTAATTGGGAAACTATCAATATTGCCAGTAGTACTATTGCATTGTTTGGTAAAACAGATATTGTCAGATGGAAGAGAAAACTCCTTTGGGGTATGTATACAGTAGTTTGATATTGGGCCATTGATCTTTGTAGTTGGAGAAGGACATATGTCGGTTGTACATGGATTATTATCGTTACATGTGGTTTGGGCATTACAACAGCTGGTACCGTCACCATTACAAATACCACAATAGTCATAGTAATTACAAGTAATTAAAATATTGGTATCAATTCTAATGGTTGATCTTGTTGTATGTCTTTCACAATAAAAGAAATCAATTGGATATACATTGCCTCTTGTTAAACCTAATGAATTTAAATTAACGCTTGCTGATTCGGCAGAGTGTAAACCACCTAAATCAATGACAAGCTTATTGTCAATGAAAACAAAAAAGTCATCATCACCAACAAAACTAAACGTTTCACCACCTTTAAATAAGAAATTTGAGTTAACTTTTAAACAGAAATGGAAGTTATGATATCTACCATTATCATCTTTATATAACCTTTTGGATGAATCGACATCAAAACCTTGATTATCAACTAATTTTAAAAATAAATTAAATTTATATATTAATATTTAAATATATTTAATTTAGAATATTATTATATACTTACTTGGGAAGAAATTTTGATTACTATAGGTATAGATACCACTGTCAGAATTAAAATCTAATGTTAAGTTAATTGGTATTGGGATGTTATAACCTGGTGAAGAAGCATTATTATTTGGTGAAAAGAAATATTGGAATAATTCAGGCTTTATCATTCTACCATCACGATTTGTTGTTATAGAGGGGCTTAAAGAATTTAATTCTGGTACACGAGTAACTGGATTTAATACTGATTTAACCAATTTTTTTGTCAGTAGACCATTTTCCGGTTCAAAATTAGGGTTATACATTGGATGCTGGTCATAAATAGTACCACTTAAAATAATTGCTTAATAATATATTATTAGATTAAAATTAAAAAAAAAAAAAAATTTATAATTTTAATTTTTATAAATAAAAACTTACTTTGAGATTTTACAATATTTATTAATAATACAAAGAAAATAATGTTAAATATAAAATAATTAATATATTTCATTTTTAAATATTTAGAAATATATATATATAGTAAATATATACAAATAATAATACAACAAAAAATTTAAAATAAAATTGAATAAAAAAAAAACAAAACTTTTGAAATTTATATTTTTTTTTTTGATTAAAAAAAAAAAACCATTATTATTTACACACCCAAAATGTAAAACTATCAGAATGTGATTATCATAATTAACCAATAATCTTTTTTTTATTATAAAAAGATCGCACTTATAAATACGAAACTATAATTAAAATATACCATATACTTAATTAATCTTGGGTTTTTAAGTGTAAAGAAGATATGGTTTAATAAAACTGATGGTGTATACACAAACTGCAATTTAAAAGAAAAAATAAAAACAACCACGTTATCTTTTTAAAATTTTTGATTTAAAAAAAAAAAAGTTTTAAATTAAAAAAATTAAAAAAAAAAAAAAAAAAAATAAAATATAAAAAAATAATGGGGGTGTGATGCCACACCAATGGGTGATTGTTTTTGATTATCAAAGAAAATAAAATATTTAAGCTACTCAATAAAATACATACTATAACTTTTATTTAATTTTTTTTTTAAAATATTATTATTTAAAGTTTCTTTTTTTTTGATGATAATGATGGAAAATCATTTTCCGATTCTAAAGATGGTGCAGCTGATAATGATGATGATGTTTTATAATTATTATTATTAATGTTAATATTATTTTTATTATTTATATTTGTATCTTGTTGTTGTTGTGAAATCATATCGGCAAAAGAAATTTTATTTGGCGGTTTTGAAGATGGAGATGAGGATAATGTTGGAGATGTTTCTTTATTGTTGTTGTTTAATGTAGATGGTGATGATAATGGTGGAAATGATACACTGCTTGACTTTTTTGAAAATTTTTGTGAGTGATTATTATTTTTATTTATTATATTTGCCATAGTTAATGGTGCTAATTTTAAATCAATTTCATTATTATTTATGTTGTTATTGTTATTATCTTGTTGTTTTTCATTTTCGTCAATATTGTTATTATTATTATTGTCAATTTTATTTTGAATTGGTGAGTTTGCAATTTCATTTAAAACAAAACCATGGCAATTTAATGGAGCACACCAACAGGCCAATGTTTTACCTTTTAATTCAGTCTTTGCTAATTGAAATAATCCATCTTGTTCTGGTGCAAATATCCAATCCCTATATCTTTTAATTACTTGATTACGATCACCATGTTTACCTATAGTAAAAGGGTTACCCCATTTAAAATCTTCTGGAACACTCTTTTTAATTGTTGGGTTTTTACGTCCAATATAGACATCGTATGGTTTTACTTTACAATGAACTGTTAAATGTGAATATTTTTTATCGTATAAAAAAACTCCATCACTTGTAACTGGATCGTAATCTTCTTTTGGTTCTTTGCCAAATTGATGATTCATTTAAAATTTTATATATAATATATTATATATATATATAATATAAATAAAATAAAAATGAACGAATTTAATTTTGAAAATAAAATAAAATTAAAAAAAAAAATTTTTTTGTTTTTTTTTTTTAAATTTCTTTTTTTTTTCCTAGTTTTAGATTTTATCGATAATTATTGTAAAATTATTAAAATTTGATTAATATTTTTTAAATATAAATGATTCTTATATGAATTTTTTTGAAATTTTTTTTTATTTTTATTTTATTTTTATTTTATTTTTTTTTATTAATTTTATTATAAATTAATAAATATGGAAATATTAATTTTAAAATTGATTGATAATCAACCAAAATTCTAATTTACAAAATACGATAGATTTTCTATATATAGATTTGTTAGTAATGTGATTTTTTATATGAATTTCGAGTGTAATTATTATTATTATTATTTTATAATCTCTTTAAACTCTTTTTTGGTTGTGCTTTGGTTGCAGTTTCAGCTTTCTTTTTAACAGGTGATGAGGCTGTAGCGGTTGATGTAGTTGTAGTGGTGGTTGTAGATGTTGAGTCTGATGAAGTTGTAGTGGTCGAAGGAGATGCGGTTGTGGTGGTGGATTCTTTAGCATTACCAATTGGTTTTGATGCGTGAATTGATGTAAATAATTTAGCTTGTTTACAATAATCATCATAATTCTCTAAAAGTAATCTTGAAGCATCTTCATTTAATGATGATTCAGCATTTGGTACAATTAATAAACATTTAATAGTCTATTTATAATTTAAAAAATTAATAAAAAGATAATAAATAAATTTATAATAATAGAAATACTGACCAATAAAATATGTTTAATACCTAAATCTTCACTCCAATCTTTCTTTAATGTATTTACACAGATTTCACCTTTTTTAGAAACATTGGGGTGAAATATTTTAGTTATAAAATTTGCTTTTGGTGGCACTTTGGGAAAATCTGGTGATAAAATTAACTTTGCTTTAAAATAACCATTTTCATATGGTGTTCCTGCTGGTCCAACAACAACAGCTTCAATATTGGTAAGATCTTCTTCTGATGGTAATAATGTAATATCTTCTAATGGGTTCGAGGTCAAGTCTTTTAATTCTTTTAGTACTCTTCTAATAACATCTGGGGGAAGGTTTTCACTTGACATTTTTTGCGATATATTTAAATGGTGGAGCTAAATAATAAATAATTAAAAAAAAAAATTTTAAAAAAAATTTAAAAAATTTTTTTTTAAAAAAAATAGTTTTTGGCGCACAAACTTGGTTAATCTAATAATAGATATAAACACATATTAATATCCTCAAATTAAAACTTTTTTTAAGTTCTTCTATAAGTTGGATTAAAGATATTTCTATATCGGTTTCTTTAAAAATAAACAATTTGATTAGTCTATTTTAAAATTTTATTTTATCTAAAAATTTAGATATCTTTTGTAGTCAAAAATTTTGTTTCTGGGTTTAATTAATTATTTTTATTTTTTGAAAATCATTAAATTATCTTAAACTTGAAAAAATTTTTAAAAAAAAAATAAATAAAAATAATTTTGGTCACCAAAAAAAATATTTATCCAAAAAAACAAAATAGAAACAATTTGTGATAATTTAATAATAAAAAAAAAAAATTAAAACTATTTTTTATTTGATTTTTTAGTTCTATTAAAAATATAATTATTTAATATATTTTGAGGAATGTCAAATTTTTTTAAATAGTTTTTATCTATTTGCAAATCTTGGGAAATACAATGGTCTATATAATCTTTGGCTTCTTCTGGAATATGAGAGTGGGGTACATTTTCGATAATGTCTCTAATTTGAGAATAAAGGAATTTTTTAAGTTTTTCTAAAGCTTGATCCCATTTATCTTTATCATAACCATCCTCCCCTTCTTTTTTTCTAATATTAATAAGTTTAATTAGAGTTTGATTATAATAGCTAATATCCTTAGCTAATTCTTTGCAGATTTCTGGGTTTTTTAACAAAGTTGTATTATCTACTCTAATAGGATTGGTTGAAAAAATTAAATTTTGCCAAGAATGTTCTTTTTTTAAATTTTGGTAAAAATCATCTGTATTACTGTTATTTATATTGTTTTCAAAATCCAAGAAATGTGAAGGGTCTAGTAAGTTATGTAATTGTATATCGTGATCAAAAAAAAGAAAACTGGGTTCAGTAAAGTAATTTTTAATATCTGAATCTATGTTGATATTTGTATGCATTTTAAAATGTATATTTTTTAAAAAAATAAAAAAATAAAAATAAAAAAAAAATTTTGGAAATATAAAAAAAATATCTTTAAATTGAACTTTGTGATTTGATTTTTTAAAAAAAAATTATAAAAAAAAAATATTAAAAAAAATTTTTAAAAAATCTGCTTTTTTTTTTTTAAAAAAAATGAAAATTTCAATATTTTTTTTTATTTTTTTATTTGCCCACTCTCTTTTATGTCAAGATATCCCTTATTTTACCTCTTTACCCATTGGACCAATATTAAATTATACCCAGTCATCAATTTTAATTTTATTAAGATGTTCATCCCCACTATATATATATATTAATAATACATTGGTATCACTCTCAGAAATCAATTCATTACAATTTGATCAATGGTTTTTGCTCAACACCCCAATTAGTTTATCAACTGATACTAATGGTGCTATTTCTCCACAAATCCTCTCTTTTACAAATTTTGATTTGTCACTTTCAATTTCAACACCAATATCAAGCAAAGAGTTTAAATTATTTGTTTTTGAAAATAAATTTTATGGAAGCGGCTCTGTATCAGTTCCATATTCCTCACCATTAATAATTACAAGAAATAATGTAAACTACCAAAAGTTAAATATAATAAACAATCCGCTTCAAATTTATAAATATAATAAACAGTTAATTAAATCTTGGGAAGAAAAATCTATAGACATAAGATTGAATGATATCACTGTTAGATATTCAAATGAAGATCCATTTTTAGATATTCTTCTATCGATTCCAGAATCAGGAAAAGGGGTATTAAAAATAGAATCAAAAATTAATATCAAAGGTTATGAATATTACTTTGATGAAATAGTTATTTCTATCACAAAAAAAGACCAGGTTTTTAGACTTCCAACAGAACTTATTGATTCTCTTTCTATTGTCCAAGAAGAAACATCGAAATATATTATGACTAGTGCTCCATATGACAAGTCTTCAAGATTAGAGCTTTATTTAGATTCTCTTAAAATCAAATCCGGTGAATTAGTGTGTATCGAAGAGCCAGTATTATTTCAATCACTTACCATCAACGATATTATTCAGCTAGAAGAAATTTATGATTATCGAAAGTATCAATTTAGACAATCAGATAATATTAATGTGATAATATTAGAATATTCTTGGAACAAAATGGTAGGGTGGGAGAAATCACAACCTTTAAATAAGGGTTACTCCTGTAACTTTTTGGATCAAAGAAATCAATATTGCCCCTATTGTCCAGAGGTATACCATAGGTTTGTATTTTCTATTAATTATTATTTATATTTTATCTAATTTTTTTTTATAATTTTAGAATGGTCAAAACAAATAATATTTATAACGTTTATAAATCAAATAGAGTAATCAACTTACATGATTTTGGTTTAGATGTTTCTTTAAATCTGTATGACTCCTCATTTTATTTCAAGAATAAGGATGAAAACATTTTACAAAATAGTCAAGCTTCCATAAATTTTAATTTTACAGAGTAAATATTAATTTTAGTATTCAAATAATAATTTATTTACTAATTAAATTAAAGAACTTTTACTACAGATAACAACTATATATTAATTCCGGATAATAATAAAGATTCATCACTTTACCTCTGGCTACCTAATATAACCAATGGATGCAGCGGCATTAATATCTCTTATTCAGATTTTTTTTCTCAATCATCGTGTCAAATGTCGCAATACTCATGTTCTAATATTCATTATTTTAGAGAACCTCATGACGAAACTATTTATATGAATAGTAAATATAACTGTAAGTATTGTTTAATATATTTATAGTTTATTTATAATAATAATTAATTCACAATTTTTTAGTAAATTATGGAAATAAAAGATCTGGTATTATGTACAGCATAGATTCAATTATTTTTGAAATTCCTCAAACTATTATGAACCTTAACCTTTCACTTTTTGTCCCAAGTCTACCATTCATGCAACCGCTAATTAAAGAGAAATCATTTGAATCAAATAGTTCAATTGCACAATCCTTAATTATAATAAAATATTCATTTTCTAACTTTGGGAAAAGGGGTGGGGATTTCTCCATTTCAATGAATTGTAATGGTACAAGCAATAACTTGTTGAATTATGGAACAATTAAACCAGTAAGTAGTTTAAAAAATGTATTTTAAAATTAACCATACTAATTAATTTTTTAGAAAGAAACTTTGCAGTTTTCTTTATCATTCCAAAAAAGTATATTCTCCAAAAATACAAGAGTTTATGAATGTAAAGTAAAAGTAACAATTCAAAGTTTGGAGTATTGGTCAAAAAGTGATAAAGAAATCGAATCAACAAAAAACTTTATCTTCAGGGAAAACGAAAATGGGTGTTATCATAACATTACCAAAGATTCAATTACAATATCAAAAGAATTTGTTAGAAACATTTCCACCCCAAATGAAGCAACATTTATAATCAAAATCAAGAATAATATTGAAACGATTGACTGGTTTTTCTTTAATATCAATTGTTTCAAAGATTCAATCAATAAAACAATCCAGATTCCTTCTCATAGCTCACTAAGTATCCCAATCACAATAAAGCATTCATCAAATACCAATTGCAAAATAACCATTGACTCATTCCTAACCAAGTGCCAAAATAACATTTATAGTGACAATTGGAACTACGTTTCTGACATAACAAATATTTCCAATAAACAAACCATATCAATATCAAATATAATATTGTTTGTATTGATACTATCACTCTTTTAATGAAATAAAGCTAAAACATAATATAATTAAAAAGATTCATTTAATTAATGTTTATACATTAAAATTTATGGTTTATTTATATAAGTTTTTTTTATTAATATTATATGTTTATAAGAATTTAAATAAATATATTTGTATAATTTAAATACTATATTGTTATTCTATTATTATTATTATATTTTATTTTATTATTATTAGTTTTATTTATTCCCATCCCCATAATTTAATGGTTTGATCATGACTGCAACTGATAAGACATTTTTTATTTTCCCAAACTGCTAAGCCCTGAATTGATGCATTATGAGCCTCTATTGTCGAAACACACTTTAATGATTCTAAATCCCAAACCTGGAGGAAAAAATATTATTAATATAAGTTCAAGTAAATTTAAATTTATCAAAATTTTACATACCTTTATAGTATTATCATCAGAAGCAGTAAATAAAAATTTTTCACAAATTACCATATTTTCTACCCAACCCATATGACCTCTTAAAACCTGTATTGGCTCAAGATTTTTTAAATTCCAAACACGAATTGTTTTATCATAAGAACCGCTATAAAGCGTACTACCTAAAATACAAATTGTTGTTACCCATTTAGTATGACCTTTTAATGTATATAGATTTTTAATTGTTGTTTTTGATGGTGATATATCCCAAATCTTGATCGTCTTGTCATTTGAACCACTAAATAAATATTGACCACTAACTGCAAGTGTTTTAACTGCACGTGCATGGCTTTCTAAAGTATGTTTACACTAATAATAATAAAAAAATTAATATTTACGATAATTTTCCATATTCTATAGTTTTTATATTTTGCATACCTCTAATGTTTTTAAATCCCAAACCTTAATCGTTTTATCTGAACTACCACTAAATAAATATCTATCATTAACAATTACAGTATGAACTGGCTTATCATGACCTTCTAAAGTAAAAATACATCTAAGTTTCTGAAAAAAAAATTAATATTAAATTTTTTTAAAATTGTTTATATAGTTTTACTTACTTTTAAATCCCAAACCTTAATTGAATGATCTGAGCTACCAGAAAATAAATATTGTTCATTATAACAAATTGACTCTACTGGACCTTCGTGCCCTTTTAAGGTTTGGATACATTCCATTGTTTCATTCTTATATTCATATACTCTTATGGAATTATCTGAACAACCTGTAAATAATAAATTATCACAAATACATAAATGGCTTGTAACATGATAACCCTTTATAGACTCTAATAATTTAATTTTATCAACCTAAAAATAAAAATAATAAGTAACTAAGCTTTATAATGGAATATTATATTAAATTAAAATTACTTACATTTAAAGACAATTCTTTTTTCTTGTGATCAACTAATGGCTTTTCTATATCTGCAGATGATTTTGATTTTGATCTTTCTTTTACAGGGGTATTAATATTATTATTAATATTATTATTGTTATTATTATTATTATTATTATTACAGTTATTAAAATTATTATCTGAGGAATTTAATAAGGATGATCTATTTATAATTGGCGAGGCAAGTTCTCTTTCTGAAGCACCATTACCAGTTGAAATTTCTACTATAGATTTTGTAACTGTTGAAACATTGTTATCTCTTTCTATTGAAGTATCTGGGAATATTAAATCTGGTCTTGGAACAGTACCACAATCACTTTTTTCACTTTTTGGGTTGATACTTTGAAGATTTAAATATTGGCAAATAGCATTACATTTGTGAGTGTCTAAAAACTTCTCGAAACCTTTTTGACCTAAATTTCCAATACCAAAACCAACGCCATCGTATGTGTGTATTTGTGGGTCAGTATAATGATCACCTACACCTTGAATATCGATAATTAACAATTGACGGTTTGAGTGTTCATAGGTAAAATGTGAAAATGACTGTGGTGTATTTCTTTCATCATTACTGACAAATCCACTATTATTATTATATTTTCTATATTGACCTTCGACATATGGCTCTGCTCCACATACTAAATCTGATGAGGTTCTATCTACAAATTCTAATACGCATGATTGTAAAAACTCAATTTTCTTTGGTGGTTTTAAAGCATTATATTTATCTGCCCATTTCTTTGCTATCATTTGCATTCTAACATCTTCGAAATATGATCCTCTTGCTGTTGGTTTCTTTGATATTTTTGAGACATATCTATTAGATTTGTTTAAATAAATGGTTTAATTAATATTTGAAATTTTTTTTTTTTTTTTTTAAAAAATATTTGTTTATTACCTTCCACTTTCATTTGGTTTTGATAAATCTTGTGTGTGATAAGCTTTTCTAAAAGCACCCTCTGCAAATGGAACTGGTTCTACTTTTACCAATGTTGCTGTGCATGTCCACTGTGCTGTTGTTGCATATGGATCATATTCCCATTTAACAGCACGTTCTGATCCTTCTAAAAATGTCATATTTAATGTTGGTAAAAATGATTCATTTGTTGGTTTACCTAAAAGAATTAATAATAATAAATAATATTAATAAAATGATTCCTCTAATGCTAAAATCTAACCTAAAATTATATTGGTAATTTACTCTTTTTAACTCTAACATATAATGTATCACCAACTTTATATTGAATATCGCCCAATGTATTACGTGCTTTTAACTTTTCAAATTTATTATCACTACTATTATTTGTACCTGTTGATATTAACTTCCCAATTTGTAAATCTGTTTGTGATGTGCCATATGGAAATCTAAATATTTTACCTTCATGTAATAATTTTCTAATAGCTGATATTGAAGTGTCATTCGTTAAATCTGATAACTCTACTTCTTCATCTTCATAAGAAAACCATACACTAAATACCATGGTTATTATTATAGGTGGTGAATTTTATTATATTTATTAATTTCTTTTAATATATAGAATTATTATTTATTATAATAAAAAAGATTTATTATTTATATATTTTATTATATTTGAAAAAAAAAAAAAAAAAAAGAAAAAAAAATTATAATAATGTGTTTAGTTATTACTATGCGATTTTCTTATATATTTTATTATTATTATTATTATCAAAAAAAATAAATATTTTAAATCTTTTAAATTTTAAAAAGTTATTCTATTTTTACTATTTTATTATTATATTATTATTACTATTAAATTTTTTTATAAACTATTTGATTTTAAAATTATTAATTTTTCAAATTATTGCTTAAGTATTATATTATTTAAAAATATAAATTCTATACACAACTATTTAAGTCTATATATAATATTGAAAAAAAAAGTTTTTTTTATAATTTATTTATTTTATAAATATATAAAAGTATTTATTATTACAACAAAAGTTTTTTTTTTTTTTTTTTTTTTTTTTTTTTTAAATAATTAAGTTATATGAGTGAGTTTTTTTGGGTTGTTGAATATATGAGTGGGTTATTGAGTTTTTTTGTTTTATATATTGTGTGTGGGGTGAGTTATTATTTATTATGTGTGAAAATATTATGGTGTGTTGGAATGTGGTTACTTATTATTATTATTATTATTATTATATAATTATATTATTATATTACGAATAAAATAAACAATAATAGTTATTATTTTATGGTGTGATATTAAGACACAAAATAAAACAAAAAAAAATAAATAATATAAAAAAAAATTAAAATAAAAAAGAAAAAAAATATAAAAAAATTAAAAAAAATAAGAAATTTAAAAAAAGAAACCTAGTTACCTGATTTGATTTTAGTTATCCTTTCCTTTTCCCTTCCTTTTATTTTATAATTTTATAAAATGGTTTATTACATAAGGGTTTTTTTATTTTCTTCCACCAAAATTTTAAATAGGTTTTTTAAAAAAAAAAAAAAAAAAAAGGGGGATTAAAAAATTTTTAAAAAACTAAAAAAAAAAATTTTCAAAATTTTTTTTTTAAATTTTTTTTTTTTTTTAATTTTTTTTTTTTTTTTTTAAAAAACTTTTTTTTAAAGTGGGTATGTTTTATTATATTATTTCTTTTTTTAATATTTATTTTACCATTTTTTTTTTTTTTTTAAAAATATCTTTAAATTTTCAAAGAAAAAAACAATTTGTTCATCTTGTATGCTCTCTATCTTTTTTTTTAATCTAAATCTTGATAAAAATATTTTTTGTTTATTTTTTATTATTTTTTTTTTCTTTTATTAATTTATTTATATAAAAATGTCATTGCAATCAAAAAAAAAAAAATCAATGATTAAAGGGTAAAAAGTTATTTATAGATCAAGCACAATTAAATAGATCACATCATTAGATAAATCTTAATAGATCTGTAATAAATATCAAAATATAGCAAATTAAAAAACTACAAGAGTCATGATTGTAAACTATTGCCAAAACAAACAGATAACAGATTCGAGTATGAAATAATGTTAAAATTTCTTCAGGGTCCATTGAAACCAAACTATTTAAATTGATAAAATTTTTTAAAAGAGATGGTGCAACTCTAGTAGAATAACATGATTATTATTTTTAGTATTTAATTTAACAAATAAAAATGGTCTGAAAATTACTGACGATTTTTGGTTTTTATTTTAAATATTTTATTTAAAGAGATTTATTTTTACTGATGATGGTATATCGCATTGTTTTATAGGGTCTCTGAAATATTCACCTATTGTTAATATTTCTAGTGATGGAGGTATACAGTCTTTTTTAAGTGTTTGGTTAAATTGATGACCAAATTTTAATATTTTAACTGTTGAGGGAATATCGCCATCTTTAAGAGGTTGATTGAATTTATAACCAAATATTAGTGTTGAAACTGAATGGGGTATGGATCCTTCACTTAGTGGTTGATCGAAAAAAATTCCAAATTCTAATATCTTTACTGTTTGCGGTATATCTCCTTTTTTAATTGGTTGGTTGAATTTTCCTCCTAGTATTAGGGTTGAAACGGATGAAGGAATTGATCCTTTTAGAGGTTGATTGAATTCATAACCAAAAGTTAAAATCTCTATTGATGATGGTATATCGCCTTGTTTGATTGGTTGATTGAAGCAGCGATCAAATGTTAGGGTTTTAACTGAGAGTGGTATATCGCCTTCTTTAAGTGGTCTATTGTATCTTTCGCCAAACGTTAATTTCTCTACAGAGGATGGTATAGATCCTTCGTTAAGTGGCCCGTCAAAACTGTAACCAAATGTTAATGCGGTAACAGAGGACGGTATATCTCCTTTGTAAAGTGGTTGGTCAAAACTGTAGCCAAATGTTAACTCTGTTACTGACTCGGGTATATCTCTTTCATTAAGCAATTGATTGAATTTTTTACCAAATGTCAATGATGTAACTGAAGACGGTATGGAGCCTTCGCAAAGAGGTTGATTGAATTCATAACCGAGTATTAATGTTGAAACTGACTCAGGTATATCTCCTTCCTTTAATGGCTGATTGAATTGACCACCAAATTCTAATATCTCAACCGAAGATGGTATATCGCCTTTATTAAGTGGTTGATTGAAATGTAAACCTAAATCCAATGATTTAATTGAGAATGTGAAATTGCTGAATGTTTGTTTGAAAGAATCACCAAATCTAAGTATTTCTACAAATGGTAATAAAGCACAACTAAACTTTTTATTAAAATTTATTGTTACATTTGTTAAGTATTCTTTATTTGGGTATGCTATAAATTTTTCGTATGAAATAAAGATTATTTTTTTTCTTAAAAATAATTTTAAATGTTTTATTATTTCATTTTTTATTATTATATTCCTCCAAACTTTTAAAAATAAATTATTGGTATCTTGGTTAACATAAATATAGTATATGTATTTATTTTCATATAATTAAAAAAAAATATTTATAAAAATTAAAGGAAAAAATTCTAAAAAAAAAAATTTATTTTATTTCAAATTTTTAAAACAGTTTTTTTTTTTTTTTTCAAATTTTTTTTAAAACATTGTTCCCAAATATATTAAATTGGCAATAGTAATATTTACAGGAAATGTCGAATAGTAGCCGTTGTATCAAGCCAAAATCTTGATCAAAAAAAATGTGAAAGTAGTACTATCTGTTATTATTTGTTAAATTAAAATTATTAAAAAGTAAATTAAATTATTTATAAAACAAAAATAAAAAATAAAAAATATTATAGGAAAAAAAGATTATAAATTTTACTATAAATTTATTAATATTTTGATGAAGGTGATTAAAAAAATTTACAGTTGTTTAACACATTTTTTGATCGATACGCGTTAAACTTTATTTACTTTCGAAGGTGTTATGATATAATGAAAAATTGTTTGGTGCCTCCAATGAAACATATAAAGGAGTTTGTTCAAACTCCATAGGGCTAAATTCATATGGGATTTCCATTCCATTGTATTTTATTTTTGGTTTTACCTTCAAATAGGAGCTGAGTGCAAGGATCCTTTTATTGCAGAGGATTATTCGGTAAAAAGGTGGACTTTCGCAACTAGTGCTGGGTTTGGGTTTAAATTCAATCTCTGGGTATGTGAAAGTATGACCCGAGTATTGAATTTCAAGGTAATAGATACCACTGGAAGCCAGAGCTGTAAGGCAGCCAATAAACCAATCATCGATTCCTGAGTATTTGATTTTGAACATTATACTAGTTTTGAATTCTGGAACTTCAACATTTCTTAATGAGGCTTGTATTTCTTTTACATTAGGTGGAATTTTAAAAGAAAAATACATATTGTTACCACGCCATGATTTTCTTGGAAGTTTAAAGAGTTCATTTAGCGGTATTTTAAAATTTTCAAGTTCTTTTAAAAGAGCCTTAGTTGAATCATTTTCTACAACTCTTGTTACCTGTACAGCTGGTTCGTCTGTATAATTTCCTCGAAAGTTATGATTATCATTTTCTCCTCCTGAAGGATCTTGTTGTTTTAGAAGCTCTTGTTCTCTAATTTTGTCAAACTTGTTATTTGTAACAGAAGTATTTTCTCCAGAGTTTTGTTCAACAGTTTCAATAAAATCAATTATATGAGTTGAATGCACATTGCTCCTCACTTGATTTAAATCCAGCACTAGATCTTTGATAATAAAAATAATAAATTAATAAAAAATTTAAATTTTAAAAAAATTAAATTTTTACTCACAATCACCCATTTTTTGCATAAAAAAAAAAAAAAATAAAAAAAAATAAAAAAAAAATAAAAAAAAAAAAATTAAATTTTGAAATTAAATATTATTGTGTTAATTATGTAAAATGATGATGAAAAAAAAATAAAAAAATTTTTTTTTTTTTGTTTAAAAACAAAAAAAATTTAACCAAAGCCATTTTTTTTTTAAGTTATTTGCAAAAAAATCCAATCAAAGCCATTTTTTTTATAAGTGATATGTCACCAACTCCTTGGTATTCAAAAAAACTTTGAAATATTTTATTTGATTAAAATATTTAATTCTTTTAATTGTTTTATAATATATCTTTTAAAATTATAATAAAAAAAAAAGATATATAAATTTATCATAGTTAAAAATTTTCTCGAAATATCTTAAAAAAAAAAGAATCTGTGTGTAAAAGTTTTGTCAATAGAGATGTTATTAAAAAAAAAACTAATTAAATTGGTTTTTTTATTTAAAAAAAATAATTATATGATAAAATATTTGTATTAAAATAGTTTTTTAAAATCGACTTGAAAAAAAAAAAAATTAATATTAATTTTTTAGTTTTAAAATTTTTATTTTATTTATTTTTTATTTTTTTATTTGTAAAATGATTTTATTATTATTAAAATAATTTGGTGGTGCTTTTTAAACTTTATAGTTAAATGTAAAGGCACTTAGAGGAGTATTCACTGGGTTAATTAAACCATCTGGGACTGGGAATGAAATATAGAGTGGTGTGACACCAAATTTAATAGTGCTGTATTCATATGGGATTTCCTTTCCATTATATTTGACCATTAGTGGCTTTGGAGTTGAATTGGCTTTTTCTTTTGGTTTTGCTTTTAAAAAAGAGCTGAATGCATAAAATCTATTATTGTAGAATTCAAATTTGTAAAAAGAGGGATCCTCACATTTACTAGTGTTGGTTATAAATTCGATCTTTGGATCTTCAATATCTGGATATGTGAAAGTATGACCCGAGTGTTGAATTTCAAGGCAATAGCTACCGCTGGTAGCTTTAGCTGTAAGGCAACCAATAAACCAATCATCTATACCCGAATACTTGATTTTTAATAATATACCAGCCTTGATATATGGTTTTCGAACATTTTTTAATGAGGCTTGAAATTCTTCAACATTAATTGGTATTTTAAAAGAAAAATATATTCCTTTACCACCCCAAGATTGTTTTGGAAAATTAAAATGTTCATTGACTTTTATTGAAAAACTTTTAAGTTCTTTAAGAACATTAGTTGTTTCATCATCTACTTCATTTCTATTCACTTTTAAAACTTGGACATACTCATATTTTCTGGCAACTTGGCATTTTTTAGAATTTGTATTGGAGGAACTACGTTTTTTATAATTTGGTTGATTTTTAAATGTCAAATCTTGCTGAACATTTGCTCCTTGTGCAGGATTATTACTTTGCAAGATCTCTTTTTCATTCCTAATTTTAGGGTCAACGTTATTACTTTGTGAAGAAACGGTCAAATCAGTCACATTAACAATACCTAAAAGTTGGAAAAACTCTGCAGAGCCAGTAGCAACATTTGTATCAGTAGTTGTAGCAGTAGTTGTGGCAGCAGTAGAAGTATTTGTATTTGAAGCAGTGTCAGAAGTAGCAGTGTTTTTGTCAATAACAAATGGTTGTTGTTGTTGTTGTTGTTGTTGTTGTTGTTGTTGTTGTTGATGTTGTTGTTGTTGTTGTTGAAAAGTATCTAAACCGTCAGAAGTAGCAGTGTTTTTGTCAATAACAAATGGTTGTTGTTGTTGTTGAAAAGTATCTAAACCGTCATCAGATTGTATTTGATGGTTTAAAAAATTATTACTAGTATTAGCAACAGTAGTTGCGGTTGCGTTTGCGGTTGCGTTTGCGGTTGCAGAAGTATAGGTAGTAGTTTCTCTATCAACTAATAAGGGTGATTGTGGCTGATATTCATCAAGTAATGAAGGATTGTATTGTTGGGAAGGATCAAAACTATTATTTAATAATGGTAGTGGATCTCCTAATAGAATATTAACTATGATTATAAAATTAATAAATAAGAAATAGTTTAAGTTATAATAATTTATTTTTTATTACTTACACCAAGAAGGATCACCCATTTTTATGTTATTACACAAATAAAATTCATCACTCATTTTTATAAATATTGTTTATTATTATTTTATGATCAAAAAAAAATTAAAAATAAAAAAATAAAAATAAAAAAAATATTTTAATATAAAAAAATTTTCAATTTTTTTTTTTTTATATTAAAAACTTATGCTTAATTGAAATCTATATAGATTTTCATATAATTTAAATCTATAAAAGATATAAGTTATTCATTTTTTTTTTTTTTTTATTAAAACAATAAAAAATGATTAAATATAAGATAATTTCTTTTATAATATTTATTATTCAAATTAAAATGTTTTTTTTTTAAATTTATATATCTTGAAATAGACTTTGAATTGATACTCACCTTTAAATAATTTAGAATCACTTTTGCTTTATTTTTAATTATCATCATAATTTTTGGCATATTTTTTTTTTTTTTATTTTTTTTATTTTTTTATTTTTTTTATTTTTTTTATTTTTTTTATTTTTTTATAAATGCACAAACCAATACATTGAAAATTTGTAAAATTTTTTTATTTATTGATTTATTTTTTCATTTTGTGAAATGATTTTTATTTTAAAACTTTATAATAACATTCAAAGGTATTTTGAGTATTGTTTGGATCATAAAAATCGTCTGGGATTTCGAATGAAATATAGAGTGGAGTTTGTCCAAAATTAATATTGCTATATTCATATGGGATTTCCCTTCCATTATAGTTCACCACAAGTGGCTTTGGAGTTGAATTGGATTTTAATCTTGGTTTTGCTTTTAATAAATAGCTGAACGCATAAAACCTATTGTTGAGGTATGTTAATTTGTAAAAAGATGGAGGTTCACATTTAGTAGGGTTGGTTATAAATTGGATATTTGGGTATGTGAAAGTTTGACCCGAGTGTTGAATTTCAAGGTAATAGCTACCACTGGTAGCTTTAGCTGTAAGACAACCAATAAACCAATCATCTATACCCGAATACTTGAGTTTTAATAATATACCAGCCTTGATTATTGGATTTTTAACATTCTTCAACGAGGCTTGGATTATTTTTACAGTATTTGGTATTTCAATGGAAAAACACACTTCTTTACCATGCCATGATTCTTTTGGAAGATTAAAATGTTCAAAGACTTTTATATTATATTTTTCAAGTTCTTTTACAACACTAATTATTTCTTTTTCTTCATATCTTGTTACCTGTGTAACCAAATCATAGGTGTAATTTCGGGAATTAGTAGATGTTTCAAGTTTCTTATTATTTGGTTGGACTCGATATGTCATATTTTGATGAATGTTTGCTCCTTGTGAAGGATCATTTTTTTGCAATATCTTTTTTTCAGTTCTAATTACAGGATCAACTTGATTGTTTTTTGATATTATATCCACCAAATTATCTACAATAATTATATCTGAAAATACGCTAATGTTTTCATCTGTTTTTTTATCAATTAATGAAGGAGTTTGTGGTAGATTAGTTATTAAACCATCATCAGATGATGGTGATTGAAAGTTTGTAAAATTATTACTAGAAGTAGTGGTAGTAGTAGTAATAGTAGTAGTGGTAGTAGTACTATTATTTTTATTAAATGATAAGGGTGATTGTGGCAGGGATGTATTAATTAATGAATGATTTTGTTGTTGGGATGTATCAAAACCATCATTAAATAATGATCGTCCATCTTTACTAAATTGAGAATTAACTAGATTATAAAATTAATAAACAAGAAATAATTTAAGATTTAATAATATTTTTTATTACTTACACCAATTCACATCACTCATTTTTGTATATCTATATTATTTATTATTAAAAAATAAATAAAAAATTTTAAATTTTGTGTGAAAAAAATTTAAAGAAAAAAATTTAAATTTAAAAAGCATAAGTTTTTTTATTTTTTTTAAATTTATATTGATTAAAAAGATTTTTAAAAATTTTTAATTTGTACAGATTCTTATAATATAAATCTCTACAAAAAAAATATCAGTTCCCTTTTTTTTCTTCCATATTTATATTCAATTTAATATATATATTGAAAATAATTTACTGATTAATTTAAAGTATTTGTTTTAAAAAAAAAAAAAAAAATATTGGAAATGTACAAATATAACTAAAAAGTGATTAAATATAAGATAGTTTCTATTATAATATTAGTTTTTTAAATTAAAATTTTTTTTTTTTTTTTAATTTATATTTTTCTCTTTTCTTAAGTTTAGTTATATTATAAATAGGTTTGTGAGGTTTCCAAGTTTTTTAAATATTTATGATAAAAAAAATTTATAAAAACACAAAGTCTAACTTTTATTTTAAAAAAGTATAAACTTAACACAGACAATTAAAAAAATAAAATTTTAATATTTTTTAAAAAGTTTTTCAATAAAAAAAAATTTTAATTTTATTATTGAATGTTAAAAGTTTTGATCAAAAGAACCTATGATTATAGTACCAGAGCTAAAATAGATAATTACAATCTTTGCACAACTTCTTGGTATAAATACTTGTTCATTTATCTTGAAATAGACTTTGAATTGACACACACCTTAAAATAAAAATTATTTTTTCTGAAAAAAAAAAAATTTTACAGTTTTTTTCAGTTTTTTTTTTTTTTGATTTTTTAAAGATATTCACAAAAATTTAAAAAAAAAAATTTTTTATTTTTTTTTTGGTATGTTTTAATATTTATTATTGTGTATTTCTTCAATAATAAAGAATTTTTTGAATTTCAAGAAAATAATAATTATTTATGATAACAATACCAAAATTTAATTATTAAACCAAACAAAATAAACACTCCCAAATAAATTATTTTTTGTTCATTAAAAATATCAAAATTATTTAAATAAAAATTAAAATAAAAGAAACACAAATACATGTATCGAAACATCTTGCAAACCAAATCTATTTTTAGTTAATGGTCATTATGAAAAAATAAAAACAACAATGATTGTTTTTTTTATATAAAAATATGATATTATTAATTTTCTTTAACAAGAGTTGCAATTTAAACATTTTGAAGCGGTGGCATGAGTAATTAAACCAGTGCATGGATCGCAATAATCATCAGTGCATGTATTACCATCATCAATTTCTTCTCTTAATAAGGGTGAGCACTTACCTTCTCTAGTGCAATGGGATCTCATACATTTGTTTTTAATTTCACAGCCACAATCACATTGGTCACCTGGAATTTCGATTTCAAAACATTCCCCAGTAAATGCTTTACAAGATGCTTTGATACATGGATTTGTAGAATTTCTTTTACATTTCTCTCCTTTTATACAGCCAAGGCCATTTGAGTCACATGAATATACTGCACATAAATCTACATTGACACCATCCAATTCATTTGCACAATACTCTGGGGTTATGGCTACACATTTTCCATTAATACATTGATCTTTGGCATCACAAACTCCTTTACAGAATGTTTCGTATTCGCAACCTGCATTTGGGTTGCAACCTATCAAAGTTAAACATTCATTGGATCTATCTGGGCATTGAAGTGGTGATGATGAATATAAACCAGTGACTGGGTCGCATATTGAAACTTCGCATGAATCATTTGAATTTGGTTTTGGAACATTTTCAACTAAGCAATTACCATTTGAAGAATCACATGAATGAACTAAACATTTATTGGAACTTTGTTGACATTTCTCTTGTTTAATACAACCACCTTGACTTGAATCGCATGAGTATACAGAGCAAATATCAGCACTATCACCATCTAATTCTTTAGCACAATAATCTGATGATTTAACTACACATGTTCCATTGTTACATTGATTCTTAACTTGACAAGCATTATTACATGTTGACTCGTATTGGCAACCAGTAGTCGAGTTGCAACCTTTACTCTTTAAACAGTTATTTGATAAGTCTAAACATGTAATTGGAAAACTATCGATCTTACCAGTAGTACTATTGCATTGTTTGGTAAAACAGATATTGTCAGATGGAAGGGATAACTCCAAAGGAGTATGAATACAGTAGTTTGGTATTGGGCTAAATATCTTTGTAGTTGGAGAAGGACATTTGTCGGTTGTACATGGATTATTATCGTTACATGTGGTTTGGGCATTACAACAGCTGGTACCATCACCATTACAAATACCACAATAGTCATAGTAATTACAAGTAATTAAAATATTGGTATCAAATCGAATTGTTGATTTGGTTGTATGTCTTTCACAATAAAAGAAATCGATTGGATATACATTGCCTTTTGTTAAACCTAATGAATTTAAATTAACGCTTGCTGACTCGGCTAAGTGTAAACCACCTAAATCAATGACAAGCTTATTGTCAATGAAAACAAAAAAGTCATCATCACCAACAAATTTAAACATTTCGCCACCTTTAAATAAGAAATTTGAGTTAATCTTTAAACAGAAATGGTAGTTGTGATATTTATGTTGTTCATCTTTATATAACCTTTTGGATGGATCGACATCAAAACCTTGATAATCAACTAATTTTAAAATAAAACAAATTATAATTATTAATATTTAAATATATTTAATTGATATATAGAATATTATTATATACTTACTTGGGAAGAAATTTTGATTACTATAGGTATAGGTACCACTATCAGAATTAAAATCTAATGTTAAGTTAATTGGTATTGGGATGTTATAACCTGGTGAAGAAGCATTATTATTTGGTGAAAAGAAATATTGGAATAATTCAGGTTTTATCATTCTACCATCACGATTTGTTGTTGCTAAGGGGTTTAAAGAATTTAATTCTGGTACACGAGTAACTGGATTTAATACTGATTTAACCAAATTTTTTGTCAGTTTACCATAATTCGGTTCGAAATTAGGATTATACTTTGGGTTTTGGTCATAAATAGTACCACTTAAAACAATTGCTTAATAATATAATTTTAATTTTAATTTTAATTTTAATTTTAATTTTTATAAATAATCAAAAACTTACTCTTTTGAGATTTTACAATATTTATAAATAATACAAAGAAAATAATGTGAAGTATAAAATAATTAATATATTTCATTTTTAACATTTAGAAATATATATATAGTAAATATATATACAAATAAAAAAACAACATAAAGTTAAAATATAATAGAATGAAAAAAATAAAAAAAAAACTATTGAATTTTATATTTTTTTATTAAAAAAAATCAATTATTATTTACACACACTAAATAGGTTTAAAACAATAGTATGTGATTATCATATTTTTTAACCAATAATCTTTTTTAAATATTAAAAGATCCAACATAAAAATACGAAACTATAAAATACTAATTAAATCCTGGGTTTTTAAGTGTAAAGAAGATATGGTTTAAAAACTGATATTGCAATTTAATTAAAGAAAATTTATTTATTTTACCACACCATTTTTTTTAAAATTTAATTTAAAAAAAAATTAATAAAAAAATTAAATAATAAAATATAAGAAAATAATGGGTTGTGATGCTACACCAATGGGTGATTGTTTTTTGATTATCAAATAAAAATAAAATTAACAAGTTAAACAATAATATTTTAAATAATAAAAAGTGCAGCATTAGATTAATTAATTTTAATTTATATAATAAAAAAGATAATATTGTTTTTTTAATCATAAAAAAATAAATAGGCAATAAATAAAGTAATAATAATTACTAATACAATATAGCAAGGTATAACAGAGGTATACTACAACTAAAGACAAAGTAACAATAAAGATTTGAAATATAATATTATAATAATAACATCGATAATAGAACCAAAGTTTTTATAATACACCAAAGATATATCGCATTTAACAAAAAGAGTCCCATCATGATTTTTATAGTTTTGGTAATCATTATGAAATAATTAGAGAAGGAACTTTTTACATAAATTACAAGTCATTATGATGTTAACAATAATTATAGATATCCACAAAATGAAAAAGGAGTTTAAAAAAATAATGTTACCAAATATTATTATCAGCAGCAGTAATATTTTTATGGAAATGTCGAATAATAGCTATTAAGCCAAAATCTCAGTCAAAAAATGTGTTAAAGATATAGAATCATAAAAAAGAAAACAAAAACTTTAAGTGAACTTTATTATCTTTCCTATAATATTTTTTATTTTTTATTTTTTATTTTTTATTTTTTATTTTTTATTTTTTATTTTTTATTTTTATATAATTTAATTTACTTTTTAATAATACTACAATAGTTTAATTTAAGTTAACAAAACAATAGATTATTAAAATGAAAAACGAAAAGAATTTTGATAAAATGAATTTGGTTTTGGTATTTCTATTGAAACATAGAGCGGGGTTTCCCTAAAAAAAGTTGAGCTATATTCATATGGGATTTCCTTTTCATTATATTTCACCACGGGTGGTGTAATACAATTTAAAAAAGAACTGAACCAATATAATCTATTATCGTATTCTTTAAATAGGCAAAAAGATGGATTTATAGACTCCCAAGATGACTTAAATTTGATCTTTGGAAATGTGAAAGCAAGGCCTGAGTATTTTATTTTCAAGTAATAGCTACCACTGCAAGCTTCAGCTTTAAGAATGCCAATAAACCAATTACCTATACCTGAATACGTGATATTTAATAATATACCAGTCTTGAGCTTTCGTACTTGAAAATTCCTCAACGAGGCTTTGATTTCATTTACAGGATGTGGTATTTCTAAAGAAAAATACATTTCTCTACCACTACGCGATTCTTCTGGAAGTTTAAAATATTCATTGACTTCAATATTATAATTTTTAAGTTCTTGAACAACGAGAGTTGTATTAGCTCCTACTTCATCTCTTGTTACCTGCACAACTACGTCATCTCTATAACCTTCATCAACAAATTTTCTTTTTGAAGAAGGATCTTGTTGATGTTGTAACTCTATTTCTTGCTCCAATTTGAAACCGATTCCAGCAGGAGAAGGAGGAGAAGAATTTCGAAAAATTAAATAATTTAAATCCAACACTTTATTTTTGATTATAAAAACAATATATTAGTCAATAAATTTAAATTTTATAAAAACTATATTTATACTTACTATCACCCATTTTTTTAGATAAAAACAAAGGTTATTTATTATTTATTGTTTGATGGTATTTTTTTTTTTATTTACTGTGGTGGTAGTTATAACAATATTGTTTAATTATTTACACGACAATACTGAAGAAAGTTTTTATTTTTTAATTGGGTAGTTAACTTTATTATAACTGTTTCTTATTATTATTATAATGATTACAGTTTTTGTCGAGTCACTTTGAAAAAATATATAAAAAAAAAAAAAAATTTAATTTTTAAAAAAAATAATAAAAAAAATAAGAAAAAAATAAAAATATGTATTTTCAAAAAAAAAAAATTTTAATCAAAAAAAATAATTAAAAAAAATATAAAAAAAAATAAAAAAAATAAAAAAAATAAAAAAAATAAAAAAAATAAAAAAAATAAAAAAAAGACATATTTATTTTTCTATTGTGTATTTTTCAAAAAAAAACTTTTTACAAAAATTCTTTTGATCAGTGTTTTTTAAAAATAAAAAAAATAAAAAAAAAGACATATGAATATGTTGTGGACCTTTCATCTTTTTTTGTTAAGAACATCATACACGATTCCATTATTTGAGAATGGTTTTGTGAAGGTGGTTATTGTAATGAAAGAAAAATTTATAAATTTTAAAAAATGCGAAAAATTAAAAAAAAGGCAAATATAAATTAAAAAAATTAAAAAATAAATAAAATGAATAAAAATAATTAAAAGAAGGGAAAAAGAAAAAAATTATGATGTGTGTTTGTTCTGTTATTTTGATCTATTGATAAATTTTTAAAATGGATTAGAATGAATAATTTTTTATAAAAAAAAGAGATAATTTTTTTAAAAAAAAAAGATAATTTTTTCTAAAAATTTTTAAATGAATGATAATTGATAAAAACTAAGATAACCATAGTTTTTAACCACTAGTTATTTTATTTAAATGATTATATGGTTACTTATATGGTTTCTTTAAAATTAATTAAAAATAAAAGGTATAAAATTTTTTTGTTTTTAAATAGTTTAACTTTTTTTTTTTTTAAATTTGGTCATAAGTTTATAATTAAGTAAAAAATTTTAAGTTTTGAATCATAAAAATAAACTTATGCTTTTTCAATTCCACTTAAAAATTTAAAAAGCTACATGTTTTGAATAATCTCATTATATAAAAAATATTTTACTACCTACAAACAATCAAATAAAGAAAATGTAGTTATATAAAAAATAATAATGGGCAATTTAAAAAAAAATTTTAAGATTTATTACAAAAAATAATTTTATTTATTTATTATTATTACTTTTATAGTAAAATTTAAAGGCACTTAGAGGGGTATTCTCTGGGTTTGTTAAACCATTTGGTACTGGGAATGAAATAAATAGTGGGGTTTCACCAAATGTGGTACCATATTCACATTCGATTTCATTTTCATTATAGATCACCACTGGTGGCCTTTTAGATGTATCGGATTTTTTTGGTTTTGCTTTTAAAAAAGAGCTGAATGCATAAAACTTGTTATTGTGGTATCTCAATTGGTAAAAAGATGGAGGTATACATTTTTCACAGTTGGATATAAATTGGATATTTGGATATATGATAGTTTTATCCGGGTATTTAATTTTAAGGTAATATGTACCGCTGTAAGCTTTAACTGTAAGACAACCAATAAACCAATCACCTATACCTGAATACTTGATTTCAATCTTTATAGGTGAATTGATTTCTGGGCCAACAACCTTCTTTAATGATGCTCGGATAGTATTTACAGTACTTGGTATTTCTAAAGAAAAATTCATTTCTTTATTACCCCATGACTGTTCTGGAAAATTAAAGTGTTCATTTACTTCTATATCATAACTCCTAAGTAATTCTACAGCTTCAGTTCTTAATTTTTCTTTCTCTCTTGGTACACTTACAACCAGGTTATGGTTATAGTTATTTTGATCAGAGTTTTTGAGTTTTTTATTTGGTGGATTTAGATATATATTATCCTGATGAACGTTTGCCCCTTGTGTAGGATCATTCCTTCGCAATAACTCTTTTTCATTTTTTTTGTTAAATTTAGGGACTTTATTGCTTTTTGATGAATCAATCATATCAATAACAGCAGTAGTATCCAAAATGTTATTACATATGGCAGTGAATATTTGTGACAGTTGAGGGTATGACATATTATTACTCTGTGATTGTTGGAGGTTTGACAAATAATCACATTGTGATTGTTGAGGGGTTGATAAATAATCACTCTGGGATTGTTGTGGGTTTGACAAATAATCACTCTGGGATTGTTGTGGGTTTGTCAAATAGTCACTCTGTGATTGTTGAGGGTTTGACAAATAATCATTCTGTGATTGTTGGGGGTTTGACAAATAATCACTTTGTGATTGTTGTGGGTTTGACAAATAATCATTCTGTGATTGTTGGAGGTTTGACAAATAATCACTCTGTGATTGTTGAGAATTTGCCCAATAGCCACTCTGTGATTGTTGTGGGTTTGGCAAATAATCACTTTGTGATTGTTGTTGTGGGTTTGACAAATAATCACTCTGTGATTGTTGGGGGTTTGTCAAATAATCACTCTGTGATTGTTGTTGAGGGGTTGATAAATAATCACTTTGTGATTGTTGTTGAGGGTTTGATAAATAATCACTATGAGATTTTTGTTGGGGGCTTGACAAATAATCACTCTGTTGAGATGCATCTAAATAATCAATTGAAGAATTTTGTTGTCGGGAAGTATGTAAGCTCTCATTATATGATTGTAGATCATGACCTAACCCGAAATTACTTGAAAAATTATCATAATCTAACTGTAAACCATCTATTATTATAAAAATAAATAAATAAAAAAGAAATAATTTAAGTTTTTATAGATTATTTTTTATAACTTACCACTATCAGATGATTCATTAGAATCTAAACATCCTTTTTCATCTATTATTACAAATTAAAAAACAATTAATAATTTATAATTTTAATAATTTATTATTATTACTTACACCATTTTAAATCTTCCATTTTTTAAATGAATATTGTTTATTAATTTTATTGTTTGTTATTATAAATAAAATAATTATGTGAGAAAAAAAAAATTAAAAAAAAAAAAAAATTTTAATATAAAAAAAAATTTTCACAAGTTTTTTTCACCAAAAAATAAAAAAAAAATAAAAAATTTTATTAAAAAACTTATTCATAATTTTTTTTTTGATCTTATTAATCTGTACAGTGATTCATATAATATAAATCTCAATAAATGTGATACATTTTTTTTAATAAAAATGATTAAATATTAAATTTTCAAGTTTTTTAAATATTTGTTAAAAATATAAATGATAATGTTAAATGTTATAACTTAATTATAGATTTAGCACTATTAATGGTATAATATTTGATTGTTGAATATTCAATCAAATAAAAAAAAAATTCACAATTTTTTTTAAAAAAATTTTTTTTTTTTTTTTTTAAATTTTTTTTTTTTTATTTTCAAAATTATAAAGGTATTTATTTTTTTTAATTTATTTTTTTACCAATGTTGATTTTTTAAGTGATGAAATATTATGGATGTTCACCTATGGGTAGAGTATCTCTTTAATTAAAGATTGTTATACAAAGATATGTTTTTTACTGATTCTGGTATTGAAGCTCTACTAAGCGGATGGTTGAACCTTTTTCCTAAATTTAGAATTGTAACAGAAGATGGTATAACACCTGGTACAAGAGGTTGATTGAATTCATTACCAAATGTTAGATGCGTAACCGATGGGGGTATGTCACCTGGTTTAAGAGGTTGATTAAAATAGTAACCAAATATTAATCTCGAAACAGATAATGGAATAGATCCTTGGTCAAGTGGTTGATTGAAACAAAGACTTAATGCTAATATTTCTATCGATGGTGGAATAGAGCCTTCATGAAGTTTTCTATTGAAATCATTACCAAATGTTAATATCGAAACTGATGAAGGAATACTGCCTGCTTTAAGAGGTTGATTGAAACAGTTACCCAACGTTAATACCTTTACTGATGGAGGGATATCTCCTTCTTTAAGACGTTGATTAAACTTATTACCCAGCGTTAATTTTGTAACAGATAATGGTATATCGCCTTCTTTTAATGGTTGATTGAATTCATCACTAAAGATCAACGTCTCTATCGTAGGTGGTAAATCACCTTCTTTTAGTGGTTGCTTAAAAAAATTACCAAGAGATAGAGTTCTAACACCAAGTGGTATATCTCCTTTTTTAAATGGTTGATCGAAATAGCTACCAAAGGTCAAACTTGTAACTGAAGATGGTATATATCCTTCATATAGTGCACCATTGAAATAATTACCGAATTTCAAAGTCTTTATTGTTTTTATAAATTCTCCAAACTTGGGGGATTGTCTGAACGCATTACCAAACTTTAGTGTTTCTACCGCGGGTAATAAATAGCAGTCTAGACCTTGGCTAAAATCTATGGTTACATTTGTTAAGTAATCTTTATTTCGATATTCTATAAACTCTGTTATGGTATTAAAAATAATATTGCTATTAATAAAAAATTTAAAATGTTTTATAATTTCTTTCCTAATAATCTTATTTCTCCAAACTTTAAAAAATAAATTATCTATTTCTTGTTTCCCGATTCCTTGATTGTCAATGTCCATATTTTCCATTTCTAAATCGTCCATTTCCTCATTATCCATTTGTTTTTATATATAAATAGAATTAATATAAAAAAAAAAAAAATTTAAATATTAAAAATTAAATATTTTTTTATTTTTTTTCATTTTTTTTTATTTTTTTCATATTCCATTTTTTTAAAATTATTAATATATATATATATATGTTAATAACAATTTATTGCTATTAAATATACACACACCTCACACTTTTCGAAATAACAAGTAATCTATTATATGCTAAATAATAAGGTTACTATGTATTTTGTTATTATTTTTTTAACCACACTTCACACTCTTCAAAATATTAAGTGACTTATTATAAATTATAATAAGTCACTTAATATGAATTCACAAAGGTATATTTAATTTTTTATTTTCTATAATAAAATTTTATTAAAATTTAGTAATATATTAAGAAAGAGATAACGAAAACAATCAAATAATTTTAGTGCTTTTTCCGTTTATTTTTTTTTAGCTTAATTTTAGAGAAATTTATGATCAAAATCTCATTTAATCCTAATTTTGAATCAATAGAAGGGGTACTATCAAAAGGACCTGTTAAAGAAAATTTAAAATACAATCACAAAAATCCATGTTGGTATTTTATTTTTTATACTTATATAAATTAAAATTAAAAATATTCTTTACTAATAAACTTTTTACAAATACTTTGCCCCCAATCATATCATATTTACCATTTTTGTTTAAAGACAAACCATTTTATTATTTTTAAAATATTAAAAATTTCCAAAATTTTTTTTTTTTTATTTTTTTATTTTTTTTTTTTAATTTCATTTTTTATATAATTTTTTTTATCAAATAATGAATAACAAATTAAAATTTAAAAATATTTATCATGATGAAATAGAAATAGCAAATAATTATCATTTTCATGAATGTTTAATATCCACATCCATACCACCAAATAATGGAGACAATTTACAAAACTATATCAATAATTTGAACATTTACGATAACAAAAGCTTCCCAAGATCACTATTTTCAGAAATGATAGTTCAAATTAAAGGTTGTATAGGTTCTTTCTCAAAAAATATATCTCATAATAATATAACTCCCTCAAATATTTTTTATGAAAAAATTCAAGATAAATATATATTTAAATGTAATCTTAAAATCTTATTTTTTATTTTTATTTTTTTATCTATATCATTTACTAATTTTAATTCATCAAGTAACTGGATTTGAATATGCAACTAAAAATAATAATATACAGGATAGCTATAATGACTATAATGCATTGGGTCATTTAATTGTTTTTTTAAATAAAAATTATGATTTATCTTTGGAATTTCCGACTGAAAAAGATCCTTCAAAAAAAAACCCATCGAAAACATTGTATCATTATAAAAAAGATGCAACACCTAAACCATATTTTTTAAGTGAATTAAATATTAAAGAGTAAGTATCACCATTATTATTTTTTAAAATTAAAAAATAAAAAATTAATTTCTATTAATTATTTAATAGAATCGAAAAAACTTTAGGAGTCTCAAACATATTAGAAACCCACATTATTTTATGCAAATATGAAAAAAAAAAAAAAGAAGTTTGTGTTCCATTTAATTCAGATCTAAAAGATGAAATATCTGAACTATATGCAATTTCTTTTGATTACGATGAAAAACAAATAGGCGCATTCGAAAGTGATCTCCTCTCACTTTTAAAAGAAATAGGGTATTTATAAAATAGATAAATCAATATAATAATAGAAAAAATATTTTATTTAATAAAAATAATTAATACTAATTCAAATCTTTCAATTAAAGTTATGAACCAAATACAAATAATTGTAATTATAAAGAATCAATTCCAACATCTGTAATCAAGCTTATAGAATTTTCAAATTCAAGAATAGAATTTAATCAAATTAAAGATTACTATACTAAAGTCTTACAAGAAGATTTGGTCCCAATTTTAAGAAGCTCAATATACTTCAATTGGGACTTAAAAACAATTTCTAATAACAATTTATTAAATATCTTTAAAGAAAACAATTTATCATTATTTTTTAGTGGCCCATATACAGACTTTTTATATTTTTTATATTATAACTATATTGTTTTATTTTATAAAAATGAACAAGATAGGAGAAAACTATTAAATAAAAATTCAACATTAGAAAATAGTTTTAAAATGGATCCCAATATACCAAATCATAGCTCTCAAGTAAAAATAGAAAATATAGCCCCCCATACAAAGCAAAAAATAGAATTTCTTAATATTAATAATAATAATAATAATAATAATAATAATAATAATAATAATAATGATAAAGTACAAAATATAAATTATAAAAGCTCATTATTCCAAGAATATAGTTTTATAGGTCAAAATTTAATAATTGATAAGGAAATGAAAAAAGCCCAAGATAAAGAATTAGGAGATCTTGAAAAAAAAAAAACTCAAGTAAGTAATAAGGAAATGAAAAAAGCCCAAGATAAAGAATTAGGAGATCTTGAAGAAAAAAAAAAAACTCAAGTAAGTAATAAGGAAATGAAAAAAGCCCTAGATAAAGAATTAGGAGATCTTGAAAAAAAAAAAAAAAAAATTCAATCTATTTTAGAAGATAGAAAAAAAATTTTAGAAGAAAGTAAAAAAAAATTAGAAAGAGAAAAAAAGAAAAATACAGAAAGGAAAACTAAAATAAAAGATTATGATGGAATTAAAGAGAGGTATGAAGAGCATACTTTAAATAAAGAATAAAATATACCCTTATTTTTAATTATTTATTATTTACATTTGTGTTCATTTTTTTTCCCAGCTTTTTTTTTTTTTTTGGATAAAAGGAGGATTATTTATTTATTCCCATAATTTAATATTATTATTTTTTTTGAGGAAATAAATTTTGAATCGAAAATATTTTTTCAAGAATTCCTTACAGCAATCAAAAGTTTATCTTGAGAGGCCCACTGGTCTTTCTGGGAAAAATTGGATTCTGTCAAAAATATTTAGTTTTTTATTTTTTTTTATTTAAAAGAGTTGGTGTAATGTAGATGGGATA